TGTCCTTCATTGTGCGCCACTGTATACAGCGCAGTCCGCACAGCTGGGAGAACCCGAGTGTGTTTCAAGGCTTTCCTGTCAAGCGAGTGAGAGGAGCGTGGAGGCTGCAGCGCACAGACCAAGATTTTGCGCAGCGCAGTATTGCCGTTATATTTTCCCTTGCCTGTTAGCTCCGACCCCACGCGCTTCATCAGATGTTCGAAGGCGTGGTCACTTTTTTTTTTACCGATGCATTTGAAATGGATGTGCACTTGACTGCAAAAGAAACTGGCGCCTCTTTTGAGTGACAGTTTCCCTCTGCAGCTCCAATGTCTAGCGCAGCAAACTGCCAGCACGCCACAGACTATGGAGATGCTGAGTGCGTAACGTGTACGCATTCGTTCATATCGCGTGAATCGCATGCCCATCAAACCTCACTTTCACGCTTTTGTCCTCCATAAAAAAACATACCGTACCAATTCGCAACGTTATACGTACGTAAGACTGTTGATTTCTACTATGACTTCACTCATATTTATATATAAGCATACCTGATGCACCATATAGGACGCGTCGTTAAACGTTCCCACCTCACTGCGCTGAACCATCGGTCAAGAAACATTTCCTGAGTGTGTGGCGATTGATGGCCACAACAGCGCTCCTTAAGAAATTAAACAAAATTGTGGAATTTTGCGCGCCAATGGTACGCTGGTTGTGGGGTTACGTATTATATTCGACCACCCGTAGGTACTTAAGGTGCAGCTATATTCAAACGTAAAGGCGAGCGTTTCGCTGCCATCAATGTGTTGCGGCAAAGAAGCGAACCTACGACCTCCTGGTTAGCAGTTCCACGTTAAAACCATCAACACCTCGGTGGGCCCTCTAGAAAATAATTTCCCTCCTGAATAATTGAGATAGACTGAAGTGATATCTCTGCAAGTAATGACAACTGCACTCTTGTGCGCTGTCACATATGTGGTGGAGTAACTCTCTGTATTCTAGCCGCTGCGCGGAAGGCCATTTCTCGTTCTTTGAAAACGCCCCTATGCACAGCCAAGGGTCGTGTCGGGGAACGGTTCGCGCATTACGTGCCCGTCGGATGTGTGCGATACGCGTTAGAGTCGCAGCTGCTCCATCACCCCACGTGACTGCGCAGGTCACAACCCTCGTAACGCACTGCCGACGCTCTCTACACGATACGTGGGAGAGCCGCCAATAGAATCATCGCTTGTTCCGGCTTGGTGACTAAACATGATGTAAGTGCAACTAAGGAAGGCCAATTGCTCGAGCAATAAATATTACACGCGCTCTTGTCCCGGTTCTTCGTGAACCTAGTTGTGCGCAAGAAGCAGGACGTGCTCGAGAGGTTATAATTGGAATGAAGCATTCGAGCAATCACCGCGAAGGTATTCACACACCAGTGAGAATTCAAGGACTTGGGTAACGTGAGAATTTGCGCAGGGCCTAATGATACCAATGCTTTGAAAAGTATGTGGAATCATCACTTGCAGGGTGATTTGAGCATCAACATCGGCACATGAATTTACCCGTGGACGCTACTAAAATTGTAGGGAAATTTTCCTTGCGTAATTCTTACAATGACATTGAAATGACCAGTGCGTTGGCGGATAAACCCAATGACAAAACTAGGCCGCTTCGTTCATCGCGTTTCAAAGTAGTTAAGCGCTGTCTCGGAAAGGCCGCAGTCAGGTTTCTCCCAAGACCTTGATCGTCGCGATGTCGATTCCCGATGGCCTAGCACTTTCGGTCGCCGGCCTGGAAGCGTTGCCAACGACGCTTTTGTGTGGCGCGTCAAAGCTTAGCCACGGCAAAGGAAGAAAGCTCCAAGAGAGCGAAAGGGGGGGGGGGGGGAAATTGGCAGAACTGTCCACTAGACAGGGGTTAGACGAGTCACGTTTGTAAACACCCCTTGCGGGCGTCATCTTGCTGAAGACTTCCAGGCCGCACGAAGGGATGCGCGAAATACTGCGTGAGATGCTGAATGCTGAGGAGGCTGAGACGACGTCTCTTGGGGCTCTCTGGGTTTCCCGTGACTGCCACGACTTCTTTTTTATTTTTTTGTCTCCCCACTGGCGTCATTCACGCGTGTTCATTGAATCAAGGTTCTTTTTTTATTATTCACGTTGTCTATAGTCCGTTGCACTCTCCATCGTAACAGACACGCCCAACCCCATCTTTCTCCTACTCACACGTTATTGAACATTTTCATGATAAAACTGAATCTTGAGGGGGGAAAAAACTGAAACGTGCCATACTAGTGTTCCGTGTTGGAGCTTGCGAGAATTTCCGGTCTTCCTCGCTAATTACTTTTTGTGATTGCATGTGAGAGGGACCGAATGGATATAGAGTGCTGGAAAACGCACCTGACAGTGCCAGATAGTTAGGCGAGATGAAAAAGTTTGCAAGCATTACATGGACTCAACTCACGCAAGGCAGGGCAAATTGGGAATCACAAGGAGAGACCTTCATCCAGCAGTGGACTTGGGGCATTACTATCAGGAATTTATACGGCTTTTGGTACACTTATGCAGCGGACTTTGATAAAGCTGGTGATGACCGATTCGGTTAATAGGCGCCTAACGTTTCCTTGTGTGGTTAATCGTCGACAGTACTCGATGGCCTTCATAATGTGAAACCATGGTCGCTAGCATCTCTTCGGCAATTACATGCTGTTTGTGACGCTCATTTCCTGCATCGCATTAAAGATTTAACGCGCAATTGAATTAGTTCTTGTTTACAATAATAAAAAAACGTCATCTCACGTCTTTTTGCTCTTGCGTCGAAAATAAATGGCATAAGTATAATTCTCTCTTTCTCTCTGTGTCTCTTTCTCGGGCTTTTTTTTTTTCTCGTATTGCTGATGGTCAAGAAACTTGTTCGATTGACCTTGAAAACTGTGTATACAAGGCCACTTGCGTCCTTGCGAGGAATGCGTTTCTACCCAGACGACATGCATTTGCTGGAAGAAAGACACACACAGAGAAAGCAGCAACAGGCCTCCCTTGTTTCATTCACACACGCATACACATGGGGCGCACCCGGCTCTGTGTGCGTGCATAAGAAAGCAGCTCAAGTGCCTACACGCGAAGCTGAATCTATTAACTCTGTGGGCATTAGCAAAAAAGAGCATTGCGAACAGCTTCCTACTTGGCCCGTCTGCCAAGGTGCACTCCAGCAAGATTTATGGCGTTCTGCGTCCTCGTCGACGCAAGACATGAAGATCAGAAAGGGCATCAGAAAATTCAGAGTATACCTCACTCGCAGCATCAACGGGAAACTTAGGTGCAAGTGACAGGCCGCCCCCTGCTTTGCGTCTCCTATTTGTAGATTACGACAAAAAAAATTGCGCCTGTACGTAACTTTTAGGAGGAAATTTTTCTATCGCGAACTCGTCTAAGCATTCTCGCGGCAAAATGAAATTTCACTATGCAAACCAAGGAAAATGACATCATTGGCCTCATGTTTCCTACTTCTGGCAAGGGAGCTGCGCTATATGGTTTGATGGTTATAAATGGATGATAGCAATAATACCAGTGAAATTATTTTATGCATTTGCGATGTCTTACTCTATCACATAGACGTAGGTACCTTTCAGGATATCATCTTCTATAGAGTCGTCTTTGCACTTAGGTCATGCCATCTTCTACGGGTCAATTCTTCGAAAAACGTTGGTTATATTCGAAGAAGAAGAGGTTGTTTACCGTGGATGTTCTCTCCACCGTACACGATAAAAAAAAAGACGCACTAAACAATACAATGCTAATTTTAGATTCAGTGAATTTAGAACATGCGCATCGTAAAGATCCAGTACGCTGTTTGATCTGTTTAGTGAATCAAGACGAGGCCGAAAGTCATTTGCCATGACTAACGTTCCACGTAACAGCCTTCCAACTTTCCTAACTGTGTGTAATTTTAAACATCTTGAGGAGCAGCTTCCGCTTTGAGGTTGACATGACAAGGCGTTGATGCCACATATGGCCCGGAGTGCTGTAGTGCCACTGACCGGAGAAATTCAATTCCTTTTTTTTTTCGGAGTGATTCGCAAGGCATGTATTCGATTTATTACGCATGATTGAAGAAAGTCTTTATCGCATTGGGGCTCGAAAGAGAATTTATACAATGATACTGCGATTCACGAGACCGACCTTTATTTATTTATTGCAGGAACCTGTGACAGTAAGCTTCTTTTATAAAACCCAGTCAACCATTTCTGCCACTCAATAATGGAAAAAAATTTAGTTTGATATACTTCCAGAATCAATGTAAATTCAAACTTAGTTCAGTGGAATTTCAAAATTTTTACCTGTTTCCGTTTAATATACGCCACCAAATTTACGCGAATAGCTCGAGGTGCTGTTGAGGGAGTGTTAAGGCTGCACCTTCGAAGTTAAGGTGCTTTACGACTTATCGTTCCGAGCAGTGGTCTTTAGACGACGAGTGACGGATGTTCATTACTGTCCTGTACAAATTATTACTATTTTAGCGTAACACACGACCCCATGAGTTCAAGTTTTCAACTGTACGATGCCCTTTAATATGTACCCACAATGCGACGACACAAATAGATTGCTCGTTAGTGTCATGCTTGGTCATTTCCAACTCCCTGCGCAACGCTTAAACGTGACAAGTTTTTGTAGTACTTAAGTTTCTATTCCAGTCGAATGTCTCTGGCGCAGTGGTACGTTTAATGTCACAATGCGTGTTAGCGCTCCCTGAGCTGTTGTGCAGACAACTGAAACGTTCGCGATGTGACTAACAGTGGAACACAACTAGAAATCAGTAACAACACGTTATCTGCTACTTTAAGCCATTAAGAGGAGCTGACAGCAATGGCTACAAATATGCCACTTGTAGCGACTGTTGCCAACGTATGCCGTATAAGCGCGCGTTCACGTTGAAACTCCTTGAAAAGGCTGTTAAATGTGCGCGACGCCATGATTTATGCAGAATGTGGCTATAGATCGGCGCGTGCTCAATGATTCGCAGCAGCAGGGCCTTACCGCAAAGACGTGGCATGTGGTGACGGAGAGACCGATGGCCAGTGGCGCTGAGCCTTGGACGTCGAGCCGGTTGGCGTCGCAGACGCCGAACACCGTGAGCACGAGGATGAAGGTGATGCAAGCCTCGACGCCGAGACCCATGAGCGGTGTGACGCCCTCGGCTAGTGACGTGCCGCCGAGAGCTCCGTGTCGTGCTTCCGGAGTGACTGCGCGCAGGATGGCAGCGCCCGTGATGCCTCCGATGAGCTGGCTGCACAGGTAGAAGAAGCTGCGCAGCAGCGACACGCGTCCTACGAACAGCATCCCGATGGTGACGGCTGGATTCAGGTGGCCCCCGCTCACGTGGCCCAATGCCTGCACCATGCTGGCCACGGTGATACCGAAACCAATGGCGATCTGCACCATGGTGGCCTCGCCCTGCGGCTTCTCGGGCGAGCCCCAGTTGATGCACGAGCCGCAGCCGATGAGGACGATCACGGCTGTTCCGATGTATTCGGCCACCATGGACTTCCACAGGCTGCTCGTGGCGGACACCTCATCGATGCCGCAAAAGGAACGGAACTGGCGAACTCGGCCCATCTTCTACACGTGGCTCGCTGCACTCTGAACGAGAGTTGCCTGGCACAGGGTGGCGTCAAATCTAAGCGACTCTGCGGGGGGCCTCCGACCGTGTTAAGTGGAACACGACGTGAACAGTCCTTGCAAACACAGCTACCGACCAACTGCTCGGGCAAAAGAGCTCTGCAAACGTTCTCTGCGCGGTCGATGCGCTCGCTCTATGTGGCCGCTACTCTCTCGAGAACACTTGACGGTGTGGGATTCTGAGCGCGTAAACGACACCGGTGCAGATCCGATAGCGAACGGACGATTTCTCAGTCAGCTTTGATAAAGCCGGGGCTCGCGAGTCAACTTTTAGTGGTTGCCCTATCTTTTGCACTTGTTTATTTCTTATTTGCACGCCCCCCCCCCCCCTTCTCTCTCTCGCCGCCGGGAGCAGGAATGGATACGCGAAGGGATGCGCTTCCTTCCTCCTCTGCGGGCTCTCCTCGTCTGGCGTCACGTGGCCTTGGCAACGTCACGCGGGGAGTAGACACACTCGACCGAGGAGGAAGACAACGCAGAATTGATCTGAAACGGCCGGCGAGAATGCTAATCGTTTTTTCCGTAAGCGGCGCGGCGGCTAGTCAATGGGAAGGTGTGCTCTCTCCATTTCCAGCATCGTCGACCTCCTCCCGAAGGAGAGTCCCAGCGAAAGAGGCTCCTGTGTGATGGAGTCTCCTGGGCCTCTTTCTTTAGTTTTTTGGTTAGCGCTCTTTCTCTCGCGCCCCACCTCTCGCCCTTTGATGAGCAAGCGGCATGGGAAACACGTTTGCGTTTTGGCTGCGGTCGGCGATGTTCTTGGAATAGGTGCTGCTGATTTGCACCGGTACCCGAAAGGCAATAGAGCTAACGGTTTAAGTCGCGCCTCTCTCAGAACTCTTTATGCGTCAGCCGCCTCTCTCCGTCGCCCTGGCTGACACAAAGGTCTCATTCCCTGGTCACGGGACTAGTCGCAAGGTTACCCGTCTGACGGCATCATCATTTCCACGAGTAGCGAGTGATAGTAAAACAAAAATATAAAAAAGGCCGACACGCCATCCTAATGAACCTTTCAGTACTTTGCTTCTCTGATACGGAGTGTAACAAAACGGGCAAGCTACGTAGAAAATGGGCTAGCATCGCCCTTCCTCGATTTATACTCTTTGTTTATGTCTGTGTAAAGAAGCCAATGTCCCCTGTGTGCATCTTCCGAGCGTCTGCTCGGTCTTCCCCCTACGCACTAACCGTTTATCTTTTTACGATGCATGACACGATCCGCGTAGGCCACTTACGCAAATTCCGGCATTTTTCTTTTTTTTTTCTCCTTCGCAGTACCTTTACCGACTACGGAGTCGTAAATTCTTGATTGCACGGACACACAAAGTAAGCCAGCAAGCTTACATCTCACTGCGACATTTGCACAACTTTCTCCCGTTCTGGAAATGTTGCCACACCCGTTTACGCCGGGAGACGCAAGGGCGGTGTTACCGCAATACACGCCAATGAAATGCTGCCCAAGGTGTGTCTTCGCTCATTGAACCCAGAGCTTGACGTTGATTGGCTGTCTGTGGAGGTACGAGTTCAGCCAAGTACGTCTGTCGTTCTTCAACAAAGCTGATTTTTTTCTAGAAGCGTTAACCCATCTACACCCCTCTTTGTTGCTTTTTTATGCCTTACCGTTCATAGTTAACTCGTATTGATAGTCGCTCTCTCCCTCTCCCACGTTCTAGCTTCAAAGAATCACTCCATAGGTCATTCTGATGAATCCGCGCTTTTTCCGTGGAATTTTTCCGGGATAGAATCCATATGGATTTCATACAAGTTCGGTGTAGTTTTCTCAAAGGAACTACACGGAACTACACGGAAATCTCATACATCTACCGTACGGTAGATGCATGGGACTATTGGAGTAAATACAAAACATTTCAGCAGGGCTAGCACTATACATCTAAATCATTATGAAGTGAATGAATCTGTATTGTATTGTATACTCTGTAATGGGCACAGAGATGCCCAGTTTTACAGGAGAAAGGTCGAGGGATACGTAAAACTGAAAACCATCCGATCACTGACGGGCTTCCGCTTTCACCTTCTTCCTATCGGTGCTGAGCGGGCGTACGCTGTCCTCCACAGCTTTTTTCATAGTATCAGTACACCTCTCTCTCTATTCGAACATAAGCTGTCAGCGTTAAGTTAAGCTCGGAGATCATGCCCCGTATTAAAAAAATCATCTTACGCTAAAAATGTTCTTGGGAGAAAACTTCAGCCAATCTCGTCACTGGACATGCTATGAGTGAAAGCATCTTGCCAACCTTTAACAAACCGGACGCACGAAAAGCTTTTTGAAATCGTGACCAGACGTATAAAAGTCTGTGACCTGCACCTTTCGAGCTTAACAATATTGACGGGGATTTCTCTGCGCTATGTAAAAATTGTAGACTCACTCTGTGTCTATTTGATATCTTTTGGCTGTGCTCCAAGAAAGGGCTTTGGATCTCAACAGTACAGAGGACTGGATTCGGCGGATATGTAGCGAAGTCCTCCGAGATAGCTCCTGGCCGTTCGGACAGCTATCAGAAATGCCTTGGCCTACTGGTGCCGGAGCGGGGGCGGAGCCACCGACTTAGCCATGTGTCTTTTGCTCTCGAACCCTGTAGTTTCTCTGAACCAAAATAAAGCTCTTGCTATGTCATGCTATATTACCTTTCACGTTTGAGTGTTTCAGTCTGCTATAGGTAATGGAAATTACATTTAAAAGCATGCAGGCTGATGGACGCAGGAAAAACGAAAAGTAACGTTAGAGGAAAGAAAGCACGGCTTCATTTTACTCATGCAACAGCTTCTACAAGTAATGCAAGTCTTGTGGTCTGTTTTTCCTCTTAGGACACGCGGTAGGATTTCGAATTAAATCCGCGTATTAGGCCAGAACTTCGATATTATAAAAAATATGTTCCTGGGAAGCAGGGTCAAAATGCTTTTCCTCGTTCATGAGGTCAAATACTTTTTTCACTTGCTTTTCGACAAAGTATAACACTGTCCGTGTGACATTTGTCAACATAAAATTTTTGTAACCTAACTTCTGAATAAGCAACTACAATCGCAAAGAAACAAATAAAATATTTCACCCACCATCGTTATTATTCGAATTGATTGGTTTTCAGATACAATTTCTATGCCGATTTCTTTGTTAAGTGGGTGAATTGTTCACTTTTTAAGCGACGAAATAAAAACGCTTCCAAATTTATTCTGCACTGATTGTTAATAACTGAGCAAGAACAGGCGATAGATGCGCTGAAGCGTGACCGTCACCTAATCTATAACCATGAAATTTACCGGTACACTGCTAAGGCTGTTGTTTCGCGTAAAGGCAGTAATAGAAATCTAATGTCACATGCCCCGGAACGTTGTTGCAATCCATAATTGCAGGTTGTTCAGCGCGTCTTTTGTTGTCTCAAGGTCCCGCGTCTTTTGTACAAGCCGACCTAGAGAACAAAGTTTGGCTTCCTGCTCTTTTATCTTTGAGATTCTGCAACTCCACCGAAGGGCGTCCGCTAACAAGCGGAGCCAGGTGGCCATCTACATCCTTGGAGAAAGGCGACGAAACGCTCCCGAACCGCTTTCCCGTCCTTGCCTTTTCTCTGTGTTCTTTTTTTTTTTTTGCTACACAATTTGTACGTATACGATGGTTGCGTTGTATTCTGACCATTACTCGTTACTGTGGCTCAATCTTTATTGTGAGGTAAGGAAAAACAAATGCTCGGCCTGCACCATAAGCATATAGCAGGCAATGCCAATTAGAAAAGAAATATGAACAGAGCAGAGCCAAGTGAAAACTTGAGGGGAAAGGATGCGCAGGAGAAGCAGACTCCACCCCCAGTCGAACCGGACAGAAAAAGAATTCTTACTTTGGTGTATACATTGTTGTCTACTATGGCTCAGTGGTTAATTGTGACGCTGCCACAGTGCACTGGTTGCATGTTCATTACCTGTTGCGGCTACCATTCTGATTGAGCCTGAACGCAAGGACGCGAACTCGTATGCAGTAAGATTACATAGTATATTGGTGTACATTAATAAATTTCAAAGTGATTTACCAACCTCATCCTTGGATCAACTACGGCGTGTCTCATATCCAAGCCATGGCTTCGGAACGTAACGCTTCGTCACACATTAGAGCAAATCAGCGAAAGCAGTAATTATCACGTTCGAAGAGGCGCAGACGCTGATTACGAGCTATGGCTATTAAGACAGGCAGAGTGAAAAAAAATTCAAGTATGCTGCCTCGAACATCGTACTATTCGCTAACATTGAGAAATGATTGTTGCATTTGGGAAATATTCTTCGTAACGGTAAGCAAAAAAGTCACGCCGCTAAATGAATGGGCATGCAAAATTACCTTTTTTGGGGCCCATCATAACACATACGTGGGGATATCAAAGCGTTTTGTCAACAGCATATCCACAGAGGCACACCTGTGCATGCTTACCTTGGCTCACAGAGTCAAGAGACTGGAAACTAAGTGCCGACTCTTTTAAGGTCGTGATTAAAAAACGACATGAACTGACGGTGGACGATGCCCATTACGTGGATCAGTGCTTGCAAAAAAGTCTCTTACAGAACAGTTCTATCGCACTTTATCTCAATATTCACCCCATTTCAGCCAGAGGTACGCCATGTGAGCAACGTCTAATTATATCGACATGAGCTTTGAGACAGAGCTCATTCTGTTGAACGCACTAAAGTAAAACTGTAACTGTCTATTTTTTATACAGTATTGCCCCGCTGCGGTAGTCTAGTGGCTAAGGTACTCAGCTGCTGACCGGCAAGTCACGGGATCGAACCCCGGCTGGGGCAGCTGCATTTTCGATGGTGGGGAAAATGCTGTAGGCCTGTGCGATTAGATTTGAGTGCACGTTAAAGAACCCCAGGTGGTCGAAATTTCAGGAGTCCTCCACTACGGCGTCTCTCGTATACACATAGTGGTTTTGGGACGTTAAAAACACATATAAATAAAAAATTTATCGAGTAATAATATAACCCACCCAAACAAAGATTGCCTCGAGCTGAAAAAAAAAACTCTTCCGATATGCAAAGGGTCCCACGTGGGGGTTTTCTCTCACTCAAGAAAAAGTGGACACAGCGCACCGTAGTGCCAATCAATCTTTTTACAAAGGAAACCCGCCAGCCAAATAATAGATATCGAAGGACTATTTGCGTCCGGAGATATTTGGTGACTCCGGGGCTGCAGTCCGGGGTGTCCGGGGAAGTGGGTTCGTGGAGAGCTTCAGGGATCCACTTGCACCTTTCGCAAAGTTACTTCTCACTACCACTTGTTAA